CTCACTATCTGAAGACGAACCGGTGACTGTCTTCTCACTGTCTCCCTTTGGGGCTGGAGAAAGGAGCAAAGCATGGACCAGTGGAGGCGCTGGTCCCTGTCACGGAGCTGAGTGAAGGGGCCTTCCAGCGCCACACAGCACCCCCACCTTCTCCCCGAACGTGCTTCGTGGAGAACTGCGGGAACCACGCCCTCCGTGCAGGTTCGCACTTCCACCCTGGGATCTGATGCACTGCACGGGTGACTCAAACTGCTGTTTGCTTTCTTCTTCTTTCTTCTGATGATGGCCTCACAAATCCCCACTCCTGAAAGCTAAGTGGAGAAACACAGGTCACCAAATAGCTTTCTAATTCGCCAGTGCAGGGGACAGATGCCACCGCCATTGGCCAGTGCCCAGCACCTGCCTGACCCCACTGTGGGGACGGGAAGTCTCCCCAGGGCAGTTATAAATAGTGCGTGACAAGCAAAGGAAAGCATACATGAAAGTTAGCTGCCCCTGTGGATTACAAATGTTTGACTCATTTGCTGACTGTCCACAAAGATTATAAATAACATGGCCAGCGTCAGGGGCAGGGGTGTCACCCTGCCGGAACCCGCTTGCCCTCCCGAGCCAATGCACTCAGAATGACCTGTGGCTGGCGCCCTTGGCAGCTGGCTCTGGCTCCTGCCGTCGCCAGATCCCTCACAGCTCCTGCCTTCTGCAGCCCGCAGGTCATCGAAGGGAGGGCTAAGGAGGGGGTGATGCCTCTTCTGAAACCACCAGGATGTGCTCCAACCATGTCCACCTCTGTTCACCCAGGCTGCCACTTCTGCCCTTCTGCTGACAGGCCAGCCCTGCTGGGATGGGGATAGCACCGCAGGGCTGGGAATGTAGTACAGAACTAGACCACGTGCTTAGCATGTGCTGCCCTGGGTTCAATCCCCAACACCAAAAAATAAAAAGGAAGAAAGAACGGGGATGCTCTCCATCATTCCAGCTGGAGGCTGGGGTTGAACTCACTGACCTCTGCAAAGAGACTGGCACCAGGCTGGCCCTGCCCTGGGGGACACCACTGTCTTTGAGGACAGTGGAACCAGGAACTGGGCACCTCCGTGCATCCAGAGAAGCCTGTCCTGCCTGGGCAGCCCCCATATGGGCCCCGAAGAGGGAAGGGTAACTAGAGGGGAGGAGCAGGGGGCAGCTGAAGCAAACACCATCCCATATACCATCGCATAAGTGCCTCTGTCTGCAGCCTGGGTCACCCAGCACCAGGCCAGCCCCGGGCAGCAGGGAAGGGTGGAGGGCAAGAAGTCGGTGGGACAGCAGGAGAAGTATGAAGCGAGCCGAGGTCCCATGAGGCTGGGGCTGGGGAAGTGGTTTTCGCTTGTACAGGATCAGCAGAAGCAGAGAGCCCCCTGCTGCACCAACCTCCCCCGCCTCCCAAGCGGGACCTGTGGCTGCAGAGAAATCAGGCCCGTGGTGACTGAGCAGTGGGACAGAGGAGCCAGCTCAGCCACCAACAAGACGGCAGGGCAGGGCGGGGAGTCCTCTGCCTGACAGGCAGGAAGGACAGGAAGGCCCATCCCCAACCCTCTCTGGACCCAGAGGCGGGAGAACAGCAGGCAGCTTAAGGCAAGGGGTCATGGGCCCCAAACCAGCTCTAGAAGGAAATGAAGAAAGAGTCCCCAAATTCCCATTGCTCCAACCCTGAGAGGGGCATTCGCAGGCAGAGCCCGTGTCACGAAGATTTCTCAACGGCATCTGTAGACCTGACCCTGTCTCGGTGTCCAATGCTCAGAGAGCAAACTGCTTATTACAGTGCGAAGGGTGCCTCCTCGTCCAGTGGAGGGCAGCCGCTCCTCCAGGAGCAGCTCCCTGCCTGGGAAGAGTTCGCTTCCTGTCTGAGCTGCCTGGGAACAAGCCCCGCCCCCTGCCCACTGACACCTCCCAGCACTCAGCACCAGAGTCCTCGCCTGCGGCCTGCGAGAGTAGGGGTGGGAGCGGGATGTTCTGTCCTGATTTCTCAGCCTCCTCACGACGGCTCCCTTTTGCATCAACTTTGAACACGCTCGGGGTACATGCCATGTTCCCTTTCGAGATCCGGCCTGCGTGCTGAATCCCTTCCCCGCAACACACCCCAGCCAAAGAGACTGAACAGGAAGGCCACAACTGGGAGACAAGGTCAGGGCAGCACAGAGCAGTGCACCATCAAGCACCTCGGGAAGAGCGTCCCCACCAAGGGGCTCTGAGTGTAGGCCGCTGGAGTCAGAGCTGCCCGGGCTGCCCGGGGTCCTCCCCTGCCAGCAGACCGCTCAGCAAGCCGGTCAGAGGAAGGAGTAGGCCGGCAAGTGCTCACCCGTCCGGCCAGCACACCTGAGTGTGGTCAGCTCTCCTGCGCTGGTTCTTCCTTCTAAGCCAGATTCCTCCCTGCTCCTCCGTGAAGCTGGGGCAGACACTCACCTCCTGCCACAAAGACCCCGTTTCAAGGCACCATTAGCCAAGCTGGCCACTTCCCAGGATTTCCAGCCTCCACGTACAAGTCTCAGATCCTGACTGATTTAGAGCCGGTCAGATTACAGGGGAAAACATCTCTCTTCCTCTCATGCCATCATCACCATCAGTAACGATCTCAACACACCCCTTTGTTGAGCGGACATGTATGGAGGGCCTTGTGCTCCCCTATGTAATGCCCCACCTGACAGCGGGAATCAGGCTGGCAGAGCTGAGTGACTGACCCAAGATCACACGGTGGAAGTGGCAGGGCGAGAATGCTAACTTTGGAGACGGTCCTTGTAGGGCCCCATCTGCCCCAGGGCACAGCCCCCCTTCCTGCCCTGGCATCCACAGGTCGGGCACACAGGAGACACTCAGAGTGTGTGTTCTAGTGGATGGCTCCACACAGGAGGACGCAGATGGGCGCACAGGTCCAGGTGAGCCCTGCCTGTCCACTTCCAGCCCGAGGTCACAGGAAGTGGCCGTTTCAGCAGCTGAGGTAAGCAGGACTTCCTGGCGGCTGCCCACTCCTCGGGTCACTGCATTCTCCCCGGCCTGCCGTCCACAGCCCCCGGGAAAGCCCCTCGAACCGCGTGCTCTGGCAGAGTCGCTCCTTCCTGCCCAGTGCAGGCCTCTGCTGGCACTCAGACAAACGAGCACGGATCCCACACCAGAAAGGGCACAGCCACTGTCTCGGGGAGAGCCATTTCCCGAGGTGCCTCCACGGACACAGGCGGGGCTGGTGTTGCCCATCCCCTCACCCCCACTCTTGAGCCTGCACGAATCCCCTGCGGCAAGGACTCCTGACCCCAAGGGATGACTGGGGAAGCCCCGTCTGCACCCTGCAGCCGCCCCTCCCAGAGCACAGCGCCCAGAGGGAGAGGTGCTGGGAGAAGCAGAGAGCAGAGGGACTGCTGCCGGCTCTGAGGCTCATTACAGGCAATGACTAAGTGAGCCACGCTTCCGGGGAAACCCCACTGGCTTCTGCTCGCTGCTGCCTCAGAGGGGATCATCTTCGAGCTATTTAGACTAAGGTGGCTTCCAAGGGCTGCCCTGGGCTGGGGCAGCCCCCGAAGAGCAGACAGACCCCAGGAGGACCCTCTGCCTGGAAGCCGCATACTGGCCATTCAGCCATCTGACAGGTCTGCCCCACCCAGGCAAGTCTGCCCATCGATGCTTACAGCGAGATGCTGGAAGGGGGGAAATCCGATCAGCACCTCCTAGGTTTTTGCGACTGGATTTCAACAAGGAATGTGACAGTCTCACAGCAGCTGTGCCCTGCCTGAAACAAGCTCTATTTGAAGCCTCCAACAGCTGAACCCCTCCCAGCTACCCGCCAGCCAGCCCAGCCACCCCCTGCCCAAAATGACAAATAAATAGCGAAATCCAAGCAACAAGCAGGCACACGCACACACGCGCACATGCGCACACATACACACACACAATTCTCCAAGTCTCCATGCCTTCCAGTCCACAGCAGGAGCCCCCACGTGCCCCACAAACACAACCCCCATAGAAACCCACCTTCCTCCATCTCTGTTCCCTCTGGGGGAGCCCCCTCCTCCATCTTCGGACTGGACTGAGGCTGGAGCAGTGGGGCCAGTACCCCCTAAAGCCAATGCCTGCTGTTCTGCATCCAGGCATGCACACAGACACACACACACACACATACATCTTTATTTATCCTGAGGAGAAGGAGTTGGAGTGGGAGGGGAGAACTGGGCTGAGCTGGGGGCGAGGGCTCAGGGACTGCTAGGGAAGCCCTGTCACTCCATCCCTGAGAGAGGCGCTCTCCCACCCCCGGCAGATGCCAAGGCAGCGCCCATCTGCTTCGCTGGGTAACACCTGTAGCCATTTTATCAGGGGATGTTTACCAGGCAGCAGCAGGTTTATTCTGAGTCCTCCTTCCTGAGGGAAGGGACCACTGACTTCCTCTCCCTATATCTTTACCCCATGCCCTCGGGAAACTCAAGTCACAGATGTCTTTCTATTTTGCCCCAGAGTCTCTCCAGGAAGCAGAAACTTGGAGAAAGAGGGAGAAGACAGGGAGAGAAGAGACTTGGGCCACGTTACAGAATCCCCACCCCCACCCATTTATCCTGGGGAAAACGGAGTGGAGCAGGTTGGGGGGGAGAGAAGGGGAAGTCGCAGGAACTGGCAAACACATCACAGCACCATAATTAATTGGTGCGTTAAGCTGCTGGGTTATGCTTTAGTACGAGAGAGCCAGGAGGAAAAATGATTTCTCAGAAGGGATTCTTTAATCCTCCCAACACAGTCTGCAGTCAGACCCAGACCCAGGGCATGGGGATGCCCCCTGAAAAGGAAGCGAGGAATGAACCCTCCCAAGATCAAGAGAAAACCATGGGAAGTTAGAGTGTTCCATACAACTGGTCAATGCATCCCCCACACACACCTCTGTCACTCTCTCCCACTCTCTCCCACTCTCTCCCAATCTCTCTCTCTCCCTCTCCCCAGACCTACATATCCCTTCTGTTTAAGGTATAAAGAGAAACCACAGCCCCTACCTTTGAGTACAAACCCCAAGACAGCTCGGTTTCTATCACCATAACAACAATTCCAAACATCCCAAAAATCAGAGCATAGTCACTGAGTCGCTTTCTCTTTTCAAACAGGGCCCTCCTGTGTCCTAGCTTATAGCCAATGTTTTGGTTCTTCCGCTTGTTGGCTTTGGGGAAGGTGGTGCTGCTGGCAGTGGTGCCGGCGTGCCGGTGGTTGTGGGTGGCATTGGGGTGATGGAGCAGGGTCTGGTGGGCATGGTTGTCCTCCCGGGAGGAGATGACGATCTCCGGGGGGTTGCTGGGACTGAAGAGCTGCAGGGGCTGGCCCTCGGGCTCGGCCTCGATGAGGTTCCTGCGGGAGGCGCTGAGGCGGCTGAGGGGCTTCATGACCCCACCGCTGTACTTGCAGGAACTCATGGCGATCTCGGTGAAGGGGTTGCTGTCCCGCCGGTGCACCAGGGGGCTGGCCTGCCGGTGCCGGCTGCCTCCACCGGGCCCACTTGTGGCTGTGGAGCTTGGAGAGTGGCCCAGCAAGTGGTCATTGAGGTTGAGCTGGCTGCCTTGCCTGGAGGAGGGGTGGAGGGCGGCGGTGGAGTTGGCCGAAGGGGGGCCCCTGAACGCGGTGGGCGAGGAGTGCAGCAGGCCGGGGTGGACCAGCTGGCTCTGGAGCGGGGCGAGCTGAGGCAGGGGATGCGGCGGCGGCGCTGGCTGCGGAGGCTGAGGCTGCAGCGGGGGTCCCGGGGGCTGCTGGGGGGCAGCTGGGGGCGCCGGCGGCGGGGGCGCCTGCTGCGCTTGCGGCGTCGGCTGCTGCTCATCCCCAGAGGACGGACAGGGGCACTTGGGGTCTTCGTCCAGGTCCCCCACCCCGGAGTCATGGAAGTGCCCAGAAGTGTCCATCCTGGGATCTGGCTGGGTTCCCTGCAGCACAATCCCCCTCCCCAAAGCCACCCTTGCGCCAAGACGTCCTCAAAGAGAGCCAGGCATCCGAGCGCCCCGGCAGCCTCCTCGGGTCCTCTCCCTCCGCGGGCTTCGGCTCTCGCGGCCGCCGGGGTCCAGACGCTGCCCCTCAAGAGCGCATTGTGGTGGGCAGGCAGGGAGGGTGGGAGGGGACCGAGGCAGGAGAGGATGGAACTCCGTCCCGGCAGGTCCTCGGGAGCGCGCGGGGCCCGCTCGCCTCACTCCGCGCTGGCTCCCAGCTCCGCTCTCCTCCTCCTGCCGCTGTTAGATTGGAAGCCAAGCCCACTCGCTTCAGCCGCTCCCATTGGCTCGGCCTCGCTCTCCCCGCCTCCGGCTCCGCCCACCGTCTCCGCCCCCTCCCCGCGCGGCGCAGGCTGGGAGCTGTAGTTTCCGGCCCGACCCTGGCGCCCAGCGGCCGCCGTCCTGCGACAGGTACGGCCGACACCGCGCAGCGCGGAGATCGCGTGCGTCCACGCGGGGCGAGCGCGAGGAGGGCCGGGGGCTCGGGTAGGCGGCTGTCACCGCGATGCGGGACAACGGGGAGGGACGCGCGTGTTCGTGGCCAGGGTCCGGGACGGGTTATTTCGCGCACATTCCAGGCAGGTCCTTCCAGTGCCCAAAGCGCTGGGCTTTGTGTTGTTTCCACTTCACAGAGGAGGAAATATGCGAGAAACGTTAGGTAACGGTGTCAAGGTCCCAGACCGAGGTGGCCGCTCCCCTGGGGCTGGACGAGCTCACCTACCACCAGGTATGCAGGCGCCTGTGGGTCCCAGCCCTGGCATCCACTCTGAAAATGTCATCCCTTTGCTTTCACGGATGAAAACTGGTTTTAAAAAGAAAGAAACGAAAAGGGAGGGCAGGAGGGGAAGAGGAAGGAAGCAAGAAAACAAAGAAAGAAAAAGGGCAAAAAAATAAAAAGCACACAAGCATAAAGGAATAACTTTCGCCAGATGTTACCTAGCTTGTAATTGAAGGTGCTAGGGTTGATCTGAGGTCAGCCTGACCCCACATTCTGTATCCCAGAATGCTTTCCCCTGTGACACTCAGTACAAAGTGTGTGCTCAATGAACATTGTTGAAATGGTGGAGGAGAGAGCTGGGGGAGCACCTGGGGAGGAAGAGCCGACTTCCTTGAAGCAGGATGTGTGAGGTACAGGCTCCAGCCTCTAGCCTGCCAGCCGCGTGCAGAATCACCCACTCAGGGTCTGTCAGGAGACCGGAGACCTCGCATCTCAGCTCCCTGCCTGCTTTGCCCCAAGAGGCTCTGAGAGTCAAGGCTGGGAACAGCTGCTGGCTTCCCAGGTTCAGAGTCATTGCCATCAAGTATTTATTAACCTCCCACTGTGTGCAGAGGGGCTTCCAAAGGGATGGGCCCAGAGATGAATGTATTTCCCTTCTTAAGGGCAACTGCGGAATCTCCAGGCACTCCTGGAGTGTTAAGAAGGAGGTGTCTTCCTGTCTGCTTGCTGAGTCCCCTCACCCTTTGGCCTCTGCCCAGCCCCTTCACTGGATAAGAGTGAGGAGAGGTATCCAGGTGCAAATGCACACACACACACACACACACACACACACACACACACACGTACGTCACAGTGCCAGCCGGGCCCAGAGGCCACAAGCCTGCAGTCTCCTGTTTTCCCATGGCCGTGCAGACCCTCCAGGACCCCCTCGCCACTCCCGCATGCCCTGCCTGTCTCCCTGCCACCTGTCTTCTTCATTTTCCTCCCTCTCTTCCATCCCCAAACCAAGCCACCTGTTTGCTTCAAGTCTCCAGATCACATATTTTGGTTTAATGATTGCCAAATAAATTACCATTAATATGTGGTGAGGGGCAGAAATGTGCTGTTCGTACTGGTTTTTAGTGCTGGATACAGTGTCTGGCTATGAAAAATCAATTTGGGGTACAGGCTCCAGGCCTGGGCATTTCTGTGCCTCAGTCAACCCTTCTGGGCCAGGCTGCCAACTCAGGTTCTCCTGACTGTGCCAGAAGGGTCCAAGTAGGACCTGGGAGAGCAGTGGGCAGGGTGAGGCAGCCTGTGTGCACCAGAGAGCCCCATGGACCAGAGATCCACCAGGGAGTGGGACAGGACGGGGTGCCACCAACCCGAGTGCCACCCTGGCTACAGCTGCCCCATCCTGAAGGGGAGGCAGACAGCACCCAGGTTGGAGTCGGGCTCTGGAGCCAGGCTTCCCCGGCTGGAGCCCTCCTGGAGGAATGGTGGGTGGCCCAGGCAAGACGTCTCCTGAGCCTCATCTCGCTGCTCTGTAAGGTGGGAGTAATAAGGGTTCAGGGGAAGACTACATGCTGGTCACGCGCAACACCCCACAGCACCACACGTGACAGCCCAGCACCCTGTGGAAAACAGCAGCTGGCTCTTTAGAGATTCCCACCCGACTCCTCCCAACTCCACACTCAGCAGTGTCACGCTGTTGGCCTGAAGTCCTTCGGGTGGAGGATTCCACCACAGGAATCAGCAAACATGGAAACCAGGGCTTACTTCTTCCTGAAGTGTAGTTGAGGTGTTCCTGGCATTCAACAGCTACCAGCACATTTGGGTTCAAGCTGCACACTCCCCTCTTCCAGAGATGCTCCTCCTCGCTCCTCCTGCCCTGTCCCCAGCAAAGCCTGGTCCACTGTGTGACCTAAGCCAACTGCTTAGCTCTCGGGCCTTCCATGTGACGGGGCCAACCAGGAAGCCCAGGCAAAGCACTCTGTACCCTCTAGTACTGGAGGTGACTCCTGTGGTCACTGTGCAAGCTCAGGACTGAGCACCTCAGCCCTGCCACCCTGCCCAACTGGGGCTCTGCACCCAGGCATCTCCCCGCCTCGGCTGCATGTCAGGCGGCACCAGGGCTTCCTCTGACCCCGACTCCACCCGTGTGTTCCCAGCAACCTCTCAATCGGGACCACCATTCACACTGTAAATGAGAAAGTGGGCATTACACGGGTCTTAGAACTTGTCCACACTAAGAAGTAACTAGTGGCACAGCTGGGATCAAACTCAGGCCTGTGAGATGCGAAAGCTCAGGCCCTTGCCATGCAACCTGAAGCCCAAATCCACAGGATCCAGTCCTGTTGGTGTTTACTAAACATCACCATGTGACTCCCACACACACCCCACTTACCTCTCACTGCAGAGACAGACGAGGCCCACCGGAGGAAAGGGGGCAGCAGTGCAGCTCCCAGCACGTGACAGAGGCTCATGCAGGGCAGAGGACTGTCAAGGAGGCCTTGCAGAGGTGGCAGGACCTGATCCACGCCTTGAGGGGTAGGCAGTGCCCTGAAATGAAAGGTGACACACCAGGCCTCTCCAGTTTGCAGACAGAGGCCAAGGGGGGCGGCAAAGAGTCCCAGGAGAGTAAGGACAGGTCCACCGGGCCGCGGAAGAAAGGGGCAGCCTTCGGCCACCCCAGCTCTTCCGCCTCCGGAGTGTGGGGCTCAGTGTCTGTCCCCCTTCCTGTCTCACCCCTTGCATCTCCTTCATCCCCAGCATCGTTTGGTTTCCCCCTGAACCGTGCGACTTCACACCTCCGTGCCTCTGCCTGGCCAGCCCTGTGCCTACATCCCCTATGTCCCCAGCCGCGCCGAAGAGCCTGCTCACTCAGAGGCCTCCTCAGGGGCCCCACTATGAGCCAGGGTCCCTTCTGCATTCAGTCCCCCGTGCTGACACTGCGTTAGGCAGTGCACTTCTTATCCTGATGTGCGTCCTTTGCCCCAGACTGGGAGCTCCTTGAGGACGGGAACAATGCCTACTTTTCCCTGGGTCTGCGGCTCCTCCACAGAGCCAGCAAGCAGCCGAAGCTTGACGGAGGAACTGGAAACGGGAGAGGTCATTTGGAGGCAAATAAGAAGTCGTGGCACTTTCATAAGTAAGCAGCATGATTTCCCTGTCATCGGAGTGAGTGGGTAGAATGAGCTCTAAATCACTCAGCTTCACGAGTCCATGGTCTGTGGTCTATAGAACTTGCCCCTAAAATGTACAAGCAGCTGACACTGGCTGAGAGAAGTACCACCTGTGGGCCTGTGGCTGCCCCTCATAGGCGCCCACTCCTCGAGAGCAAGAGGGGTCTGACCTTTCTCACCTCCCTGGCACGAGCAGGACGCCTGGCCCTGGATATTCTCATTAAAGTTTATCAGATGGGCGAATGATGGATGAAGGGAGGGAGGGATGGAAGATACGGTGACACACAATGACATAAAATAGTGGCTTTTCCAGAACAGCCCGTGGTTGGAGGCCATCCTTAGCCTCCTAGGGATAGTGTTATAAAGATCGACAAGCCCTTCTCCAGACCCTGCTGTCCACCTACAGTCAGTACTGTGTTCTTATCTAGGAGCTCTGTGGCTGGATTAACTAATGCTGTCAATAAAAACACCTGTGTTTGCGTAGCACTTTATTGTTTTCCAACTGCTTTCATATCAATTACTACATCTGCACCTCCTGGCAGCCCGGGAAAGCAGGCTGGGGGCTCCATTGCTCTCGCCCCATAAGCTACAGTTCAGGAAGCTTTATGCAGCTGCTCGAGGTCAGCAGGCCCCAGGATCTGAAGGCTCTCCCTCCACCCCCTCGAGCTGTGTCCACTGCCCTCGAACTTGGAAACGGCCCAAGCCCTGCCGTGCCCCACACTCCCGGGACCTGTCTCCCTCACTCCCCCTCAGTCCCACGCTGACTCCCATCTCTGTGTTCCCTTTGCATTTTATTTCTACCTCTCTGGGCACATTTTCCCCTTCTCTCCTTGTCTTGACATTGTCTATACATGTGTTCTCTCTCCTGCTTTTAATTTACACCAGGAGCTCCTTGGCGACAGGAGCTTGTGCTGCAAACACACACACACACACACACACACACACACACACACACACACACACACCACACCTCAACCTGCACCCAACTGCCCATTGCGTAACTGAGTTTATGCATGTATGAGAGGTTGGGCCCTCAGTCCTGGGCGTTTGCCCCGACTAGCACCCCTGCCCACTAGGATGCCAGTTGGTAAGTATAGATCTCCCACCCACACCCCTTTCCCCTGAGCCCCTGGACATCCAGACCCAGTGATGCAGCCTCTTACAACTAATCCCCACGACCCCTGCCCAAGCCACCACCCAGCGAAGGCAGTGACTGTGGCACTTCTCCACTGCAACCAAGCCGTGCGCCGGCCCGCAGCTGCTCCCCACAAGGTGAGAAGACAGGGTGGCACCGGCAGTGCCTGGGAAGCTGCCCTGGGCTGTGGATCGGCCCGTCCGGCTTCCACCTGCCATTCTGCTGCCAGTGACCGGGATGAGCGGACCCTGTAAAGCCAGGCCATTGCATCCTTCCTTCCCCACTGTGAGCACTGAGGTACTCTTAAATGCTTCTCCTGTTCCCTTCTCTATGGCTTTGGTGTGGGAACTTGCTGTTCTGGCCAGATGAGTCAGTTTGGATGGAAGATTTATTTATTCCAAGAGTCAAAGGTCAAATGAAGATGCTGATACTTCTGGAAAGAAGCGAATGTGGGGGAAGCACCGCGTGCCAACGCTCTGTCTCCGCGATGCCCTACTGGGTGCACAGCACACACACACCTTTAGAGCTGTGAAGTGCCACCTGTGTAGGCTGGACAACTGCAGGGCCCGGTGACGAGGGAGGGCAGCAGAGGCCCCGACTGGCACCGGCTCAGCCCAGGAGTCTGAGCTGGACTCTGCTGTCTGAAGGTCCATCTGCCTGGGCCAGGTCGGCGGACTCAGTCCCTCACCAGCCGTGCCCAGGGCTGATGACTCGGCCACAGACTTGGCCTCAGCAGGGCAGGTCAGGGCTTGTCTGTCCTGCCGTATCCCGGAGGCTAAGACACAGCCTGTCAGAGCATGCCCTCAAGATTTACTGAACAAATCGGCCTTTGGCCCCAGTCCCAAAAGGCTCTGAGAAAAACTTCTCTGTTTCCCAAACCCCAAGGAGGTCCCTTATGCCCAAGGGAAGTCCCCAAGCTGGGGTGGCCATGAGTCCCTGGCCCAGAAAGAGGCAGCAAGTGCTCCCCGGCCCTGGAGAACCACCCTCCAGCAGGCGGGGCATGGAGGGAAGCCAGGCAGCACACCCAGAGCCCTCTGACCAGTGGCCAGCCTGCCAGTGGCAGCTCAGCAGGGAAGGGCCTCGAATCCTGCACCTGCTCTGGCCGGGGACTGCAGCCCAGCCGCCCTGGCCCACACTCCACTCACCCACCGGGGGCACAGCAACCTGTGGAGGGTTTGTGAGAGTGTGGCGGCCTCTGCTGGTGGCCAGTGCACACAGCGTCGCACGCAGGCACCGTGGGAGATGAGAGGCCCAGGCTGAATCTCTGCTCTACGCTGTTTCCCTCCTCAGAGCCCAGGGACGACCCAGTGCAGGACCAGCCTTACAAATACTGTGCAAAGTGAGCTTCTCTCTTTCTATACACAGCCCTGTTGTCTATCCTAGTCGAGGCCCACAGAGGCCTCAGGATGAGCCCTTACTTGCACGAAAAGACCTCCAGAGCAGGGCAGTGACTTGTGTAAAACACTGGGTGCCCAGCAGGCCTCGCTGCTGTGTCCCCTTCCCCCTGTTATGGCCCCTTGGTTGCAGTTGGATGTGACAGCTTAGCCTGCCTCAGCCTCTCCCTCCCTGTTGTCTCTCCCCAAAGCATCCCAAATCCAAGCAGCAGCTCAGCTCCACTCAGAGTCACTGCTGCCAAGAGAGGAAAGAAGCCCCTCTGCCTCAAGGTGCACGGGGACAATGGGCCCCGCCACCCGGCACAGTGCCGGGAATAGCGCAGAAGGGCGGCCTCCCCAGCCAGCCTGCTTTCCTCTGCCTCCTTCTCCTGGGAAAGGTGAAAGCCAGAGGGTTGCTATGGACACTGTAGCTGTGCTCTCCCTCCCCAGTAACAGTCTGGAGCTGCCCTCCCTGCTGGAGTCCCATCTCTAATTGCAGAGCCTCCGCGGCAGCCAGGATGCTTCCAGGAGGTCCTGGGCAGCCACTGAGCCTGAGGAACAGACCAGCTGAAGAGGGAAGGAGATGCAACAAGATGGAAACACCTGAAACTGGAAGCAACAAGTTCGACCTGTGCAGGTAGATTGACAAAACCAATGTCGATTTAGCTAGGATTAGAAACGCAGTCGTGTTTTAGCAGCCTCCCCACCCAAGAGGACACTCGATCACTACAGCCAGCAGCTTTCACGGAGATGCTCAGAGGAGGAGAGCCGAGGGGCCCCTCGGCCGCTTGTGGAGCGGAGTCTGCAGGAAAGACCTTTCCAGTCCTTTCACAAAGAACTCAGAACAACCACGGTTCAGGAGCATTTCCGAGCCGGGCTGCTGACGGCTAGGTTGCCTTGTAAACAAGAGCACCAGCTCCCCACCGCCACACTGGTTTGTCCCCACTGGAAAGCAGGTCACTGTCAACACTCTAGCTCCTGTCATGAACCCAACACTCAGGCCCTGCTGGTGGCGCGGCCCGGACCATCACTTCTCATGCTGTCCCTGCCGTGAGGTCAGTGTGTCACTTTGAGGAACATCTCCAGACGCTGGGACACTGTTCCCCACCATGAGGCCGGAGCTGTTCCTTGCCGCTGGCCTCTGCAGCGTGGAATCATAGCTTTCCTGGCTGTGTGGCCCACAGGTGCCCACCTGCCCATCAGACCCGCTTACAGAGCCCAGGAGCTCCAACAGCCACACACCTGAGTCCGGATGGACAGGAGGGCGGGACCCGCGCACCGTGAGGTCGCTGCTGGAGCCACTACAGAGGCAGCACATACGCTGGCCTTGCAGGTCCCTGGGAGCTGTGCTGGTCCCCTCAGAGCCCATGCCTGGTACCATCGGTGCAGCCACCTTTGTGGGCACAAATCCCCTCCCCACAGCAAGCCTGGAAGAGGAATGTGGGTGGAGGAGCACGGGCCGCCTCCCCAAGACCTTGAGAGGAACAGACACGCATGAGGCACCCGTGTTACGTGTGGACGCGCACATACGTGGAGACAGAGCGGAGGGCTCAAAGGCTTTTCTAAATCCCCCTGCGCCAGTCTTTCCCCAGGGAGTTCTCGCCATCCCCATCCCTCAGAGGCACTGGGACCTGGCAGCCCAGGAACTTGCCCCAGGACAGAAGAACTAAGCTGCAGGCTCAGAGGCCCAGCACCCTCATTCTGGCTCTGTCCCACCTGGCCTTTGAACGTCTCGCCTCGGAGTGGGAATGCGGGAGGCTGCACAGCTCGGAAAGCACCTGGGCCAAGTGGAAGCCATTTTTCCAACCGGGGAGTGTTTTCCTACCCCTTAGGAAATCTTGACCCTCTGTTTCCAAAATTGTGTTTCCATGGCCAATTTTATGACAAATTGCTGTTCCAACAGTCCCTGCAGCCCATCCTGGGAGCTCCTGAGAGGCCTGGGGAGGGCTAATCCTCTTTTCTTAGCATAGTACTTTCTTCCTCCTGCAAAGCCAGGGATTAAGCCTCCTAGTGGCCCCAGCAGCTGTTGAGTATGAGTCCTGGAGGGGAGGAAAGGCTAGAGGCTTCCTGATTCTTGCCACTTCCATTAGGAAATCCTCTGCGCCAGCCAGGAGGGGTAGAGAAGGGCAAGCACAGGAAAAGGGGTGAGCACTGCCCAGAGCCTCACCTCACTGCGGCTGTTTCTGGAAGGCTGAGCCCCGGCCCGCCAGTGAGGTGCCTCTGCATCTCCCCGGGAAGCCACAAGCCGCTGCTTCCCCAGGCAGTCGCTCACTCTCCCACCCAGCATCTCAGCCCTCAGCTCAGACTTGTCCCAGAGAGAGAAAGGACGAGCTAGCGGGCGATGCCTACGGATGGAACTCCAAAACTGAACTGAGGAAACTGATTTGTGAGACGTTGGCAAGAGACCAGCAAGAGCCACTGTCCTACGACCTGGACCCATCAGACCTTCTAAGTGGGAAGCTCTGGGCTCCAGGAGGTGACAGGCGAGCAGTGGCCAGCACTGTGGGGCCCTGCAGCAGGCGCGGGGAAGCTGCGTCTCCTCTGCTTGCCTGCCATCCCTCCTGTCGCCGGTGTGCAGCCGATTCTAAGTAGAGCTCGGGTAGAGACCCCAGCAGCCTCAAATGCACTGAGCGCGGTTCGTCTTCGCTGATGCCGCTGTTGGGGGTTCCCAGTTTCTAAGGGGCCGGTGGTGAGAGCAGGAGCCTGAGCACATGTGCAGTGTATGCCCCCCCAGGAGAGGCGCCGCCTTCTGGGACTCACGTCTTCTGGGGGATCCCTGAGCCTTCTGTCCCTAGCTTCCTAGCAGCTTGGAGAAATCCAAGTCAGTGGCCCAACTCTAAGGTCACGTGCAGCCATGCCGCTCCCAGCTGTCCGTGGTTGGCGGGGGCTGTGGTCCGGCCCCCTTACCTCTCTGTCGCCCTGGCGGGGGGGGGGGCTGCTATGACACTTTGCCAAGTGATGCACCGCAAGG